GCCCCGCTCCGCCGGCCCCGGCCCCCGCGGCGGGCTCTCCCGCGGGCGGCAGGATGGCCGCGAAGCCGGCCGAGCTGATGGGCGTCTGCTCCAGCTACCAGGCGGTGATGCCGCACTTCGTCTGCGTGTCCGAGGAGTTCCCGCCGCCCGCCCGCCCCGCCAAGACCCCCAAGGGCAAGCTGCGGCGGCCGCGGCAGTCGCGCTTCAAGACGCAGCCGGTGACTTTCGACGAGATCCAGGAGGTGGAGGAGGAGGGGGTGTCCCCCATGGAGGAAGAGAAGGCCAAGAAGTCCTTCCTGCAGTCTCTGGAGTGCCTGCGGCGGAGCACCCAGAACCTCTGCCTGCAGCGGGACCGCCTGGGCAGCTGCCGCCTCCGCAACAGCCTCGACTCCAGCGACTCGGACTCGGCCCTCTGAGGGCGCCGGGACCGGCGCGGACTGAGCCGCACGGAGCCGCGCCGCCGCCGCACAGGAGCGCCCGGACGGGCAGCCGGGTCGGGATGTTTTCTAAGAAAGCGCTTGTACCTTCGTTTCTATTTGATTGTATGAAACTCACCGTTTAAAAGACCAAAAAAAAAAAAAAAATCTTTTCTATTCGTTAGAAGAAATGAGCTGTTTTAGATGCGCTGAGCTGCTGGACTTTATATTTATTTTTGCATTTAAACTGTTGACTGCATTAATTTAATATGTTTCTACCTGAATGTCTGTTATTATTTCCATAAAAGAGTAATAAATCTGATATATTTGCACAGTACTTACTGGGCTGTCCTTATTTCAGGGACCCAACTGTCCTTGCTCAGCTTTAAGGAGTAAAGGGATTCAAAAGCTGTCGGTAGCTAGTGCAGAGCCAGCAATGCTTTGCTCGGGGATGCTCCTCAGAGAGGTTTTGCAGGCTGTACTGTCAAATATAAACTAATGAGACAAAAGTCGAGTTAGATTGATTTTAAACTACTTTATTTACTTATTTGAGATCTTTGTGTTAGCCTGAATTGAGGTTTAAAGAGTGTTTATAACCCAAGTGCCTTAATGCAACTGGGCAAGCCTCTTGCATTCATAAAAATGTGTATATAGTTTCTATTTTCATCCAAGTAGGTTTTGTCTCTTCTCCCCTTCCCCTTCTGACCCATAGATTATTTAGTGCTGCAGATGGCTTTGGTTAGATGGTTTTGGTAATTGGTTAGAATGCAGTTTTATTTACCAGAGCAATTGATACTATGTGGACGTGCTTTTTTCAGAGTTTAAAAGTAAGGGGATTTTGATGATGGTAAATTTCTAGGAGTGAGGCTTCTGTTGGGTTGCTGCATGTGTGTGTGTGCAGATGAATGTAAGATTTTCTCTGTCTGTGGGATACATGCTGAAGAGCATCTGAAGCCCTCTGCAGAATGGAAACCAAATTCCTGGACTGGGAATATTCTGCCTGTATTTTCTCCATTTTCTTGAAACACTCCTGTGCTAATAGTGTAATCCTGTAGTAGCACTTTCCTTAAAGATAAACCTCTGGAAATTAAAACTTCCCAATCAGAAGGTATTAGCTGATACTGAGCTGCAGTTAATATTTCTCTGGTATGATTTTCAGGGCACTTAGGGCGTTTCTAATGTCGTGGTTTGAGGTGCAATCATACTGATCAGTTGGAGAGGTAAGGGCTGGGGCAGAGGCAGAGGATGGACATGGTGCTGGTGAACAGGGTGTCTTGATAGGACTGAGAAGCACAGACCTCTACCCTCTGGGCACTGAAGTACAGCAGGTGACCCATGTGACTGGCTCCTGGCTACAGCAAAACTGAAGCTCGTCTCTTTCGAGTTTAAAGCTGAGGAATATCCGGGGGGCGTGGGGTGTGCCTTGTTTTTGGACAGGTCCTCCACAGCTCCCTTGCAGTACCAGCACCTCCAGCTGACCTCTAGCAGCAGGGGAGGGTTGTGCAAGCAAGTCACTAGGTAAGGAAACAGGTCTGGACTGTGACCCAACCTCCTCATAGAAAAGCATTTGAATGACCCCATGTGCCTCCCTGCATGCAGCCTATGAAACAGCTTTTCTCCCTTTGCAGTGAGACCCTCGTGGCTGCTTTCTCTGCATGGTACACGCATACATGACATCTGTGCACAAAGCAAAGCAACTTGACCTCCAGAACAATTTTCAGTCAGGCAGGCAAACTGGAATCAGTGAGACATAATCAGTTACCAGCAGCTGATTTTCCAGGGCTAATTTTCCTCATCAAATTCCTAACGGTGCTTCAATTCTGGGAGTTCTGGGTTTGGGAAAGGGTTTGCAACATCTGCAAACCCTTGCCCAAACATTCTGTGGGAACTCTGTAGCCATGTGTCTTATGTTGCATAAAGTACACAGCTAATAAGCTCTGCAAGATTTCCAGAGATGTCCTTCCAATACCAGGTTTTAGGCTACTTTTCAGTTTCCCTTTGCTTTCAGGTCTGGTACAAATCCCTGTGATACACAAAGTGGGGGTAGCTTCAAGAGGCTGTGAGCTCATGATCCTTGTCTCCTGTCCTAATTTTTGTTTAGCAGCTGGGTTTGCTAGCGGGCCCTTTACCATTGTTATTGCCATCCCTCCTTTAGCATGCAGCTGTGCTGCCACCATGCAGGAGGCACAGGAGACTGTGCTGCACCAGCCAGCAGCAGAGCAATGGATACTTCCTGGAAGGGTGAGAATAGCTGTGTTCTCTTTTCTGTTTCAGGAAAAATGCAATGTAGATGTTAACAAATGTAGATGTTAACACATCTACAAAGAGTATTTGAAAATCTGCTGTAGCATGTTTGAGGAAAATGTCATATTCCAATGGTTAGGCTGAATAACTAAGTTTCTCTTCAACGGTTCTTTGTTGACATTTTTCTGTTCCATTTCAGAGTGAATAACATGGGAGATGCCAATGCTAAAGATAGGCTAGTGTTTATCTTCCAAACAGTTGCGATCGAGGCGAAAGGCTGAAAAGCCAGGGTGATTTAGCTATGTCCTGAAGAGGTCTTCCTGAATGCAGCTGGAAAAATAAACCTCCCTCCCAGTCTTCCTGTGCTGCTAATTTTGAAATTTTCTTTGCAGTACTTTTTAGCATCGTGACTATCGTGTCTATCTGTCCTGTAAGATTGCAGGAAGACTTATTACATTCACTTTAGTGAGGGTAATGACTGTATCAAAGGGGTTTGAGTCTGTCATCTGCTCCCTAGGCTTGAGATGTGGGTTGTATATTTCCTTTCAGCAATTCACAGCTTAATAGCATCCAACAGATGCCACTTACAGTGATGCTCGGCATGGCAGTGAGTAGGCATGAGCATTCCATGTCTGCACAGGAAGGAGCTGGAAGTCAAAAGCCCATGGTGCAGCAGGATGTGTCTCAGGGCACAGGTGAGACTGAGCACCTCAGGAGTGTCTTCAACACTATTTTTCCAAATAACGGGAAATTGCATGGGATCATTTGTCTTTAATGGGACTGCCTGTTATTCTCTTATCACTTTATATATAAATCATTCTGTCCTCGTGTCTAGAGGTTCATCCGGTCAGTAAAACTTGAACTTGAAAGCAATTCTTTTATTCTTCTCTGTTTTGTGTCCAGTCCCCTCCATGCCTGTCAGCATTTTTCCCATGCGCTTGTTTTTAAATGCTGTGTTATTGTAAAGCTCATCATGCTGGTGTGGTGGATCTGTCCCTCCATGCCTTATTTTGGCCTGATCAGTGTGGAGGGGATCTGTGAACAACGCAGTATCATTGCTCTACTGGAATCGGGAAAAAGAAATCCTCTCTGTTCATCTTGTGAAAAAGCCTTTTCCGTTCTTTTTGCAAACATTTTTAGCTAGCTCTAGTAATTAATGGAGGATTTCTGGGTGCAATTCAGTGTTCACCTCAAGAGGCTGAGGACAGTCTCCTCTCCTGGCTGTGTATGCACCAGTTCTGTTCTTGCGTAACTTCTCTCACCCCTGGGTTTCCAATAATTCACTGGCAACATTTCAGAGTGGAGCTGTTATCAGGAACAAATATGAGAAGGTGCTTGCAATTCCTGCAGGTTTTTGTGCTGGGGTCCTGAAAATGCATTTGCTTTGGGAGCTGATTAATGATGACCCTTATGAGTGCTGGGGACCTGACCCTGCAGGAGCACAGTGGACAGACTGGGGCACTGCTGCTGGTAAGAAGCACCACACTGTTCTTATCTAACCTCCAAAGTGACAGCAGACATGGGACAAAACACAGACTGAGGCATCTATTTAATTGTCAGGTTGACGGCAAACAAATTGCAGTGTAAGAGAGGCCAATGAGTGAGCTCTAGCAAATCTGGTTGCTGTGGTTTCTCAAATGTCAGCAGTGCCAGCAGTTTGCTGGCTGCCTTCCATGAGGTTTGGCTCCCTGGCAGCATGTGTGGACCTCAGCCTTCAAGGCCCTTGGTCTTAGGCTTTTGAGCCACCACCAGAGAGACCAGCATGGTTCTCCAGGCTGCATCGAGCCTTGTTTGAACCTCAACTCCCATAGCATGGCTCAGCCTGGGCTGTCTTTTGTATATTGGACTTGCATTTCTGTGGGGAGAAAAACCCTGGGGAGGTGCAGATAATCCAAAATCCCTGAGCAGAGCTCAGACTGTTTGTGCAGTGATGGTGCCCTGGATTTACAGTTTGACTTTTCATAGCCATCTTAAATAGAGAGTGCAAGCTGCGAGCAGTGTTTCAGCAAGGCTGGCTCCTAACTTTAGGGTATTTTTTTAAGCTGTAAAGATGCAAGATTACATGCTGAGCAGAACATAATCAGGTGTCCAATAACAACACAGCAAGAGGATCTCCCTTCTCCTGAAGCAGGAAGCCAGTGCACAGGACAGGGAGATCACCAGGTCAACCCTGAGGATTTTATCAAGTAGTATTTGGACTTCTCTTTGAGTAGCCTGGAGTCAGGTGACTGAATTTGGAAGAATTCATTAATGGTGGAAATGAATTAATTCTCAAGCAGCATCTTGCCACATGTGTGTGTGTGTGTCTCTGTGCCTGGTCTGTGTAGTCTGGAGCGCTGCTAGTAGCAGAGCAGGCCAACCTTTGACTGTACAACAAAGCACTGCCAGATATTTAATTGGCAGTGCAATTACTTAACTGGTCACAGGTGAGAAGGAAATTCTTCCTGCAAAACAAAGAGTTGTGAAATCAGAGGTTTATTGTGCCAGAGTATTAGCTTTAAGGCTATTAAATGTGTAACATTGGTAATTATGTATTTGTGACTCCTGTGTTAGCAAATGTCATGGTACGTTACAAATAGCTTAGGGACAGATCCTGATTTTGCACTGGTGTCAGTCTGGCTTTGGCTCAGCTGCACTCAGGAGTCAGTCTGGATTTGCTCCTTGTTGCTGTTGTTGCTGAGCATGTTTCTGGACTGGCTTGAAATGTCCAAGACACTTCTACCCTGCTCCATCATGCTCAGGATACTCTGAGGTTTCACACAACCTTCCACAACTTTAACCATCCTTTTGTTTTGGGAGCAGTGTGAATGATGTATGTGCACTTGGCTGGGACGTCTGTCCCCTTCACCCACATGGAGCAGGAGCCAACAGCGGCAACGGTGAAAAGCTGGGGAAACTGGAGCAGGAGGGGAGGGGGCTTTCCTTTGTCACCTCTGTCCATCCACGAGATACACATGAGACTGCAGAAGACTTCTTTAGAAACCAAGGTGACGTTCACCTGGATCTGATTTCACAAAAAACAAGATCTACCTCAGTAATTTATTACTCTGTCCTAAACAGAGATTCTTTGTTTGGAAATGCTTGCATTAAAGA